ATGAAGAAGAAAGCATGAAAGAAATGATAAGAAACAAAAAGGAATGGAATAAAAGAACATCAAGATATCATCTATGTTCTGACCCTAACATGATATACATCTTAGACTACCCTAAGCATAGCAACATGGGTCAAGAAGATGAATAAATTACCTAACTAGGCAAGTAGAAATGCAAGTGTGCATTTAGAAGATAAAATTTCACATCATGATAAAACATGAAAGCAAGGATGAGACAAGAGGTATATACCTAAGTCTAAACATGGTTCAAGAAATCACAAATCATCATTAAGGGATTACATGTTAACAAACATCACCTAATCAAGACAAGTTCACACGATGAAAAGAGATAAAGCTCCAACAAGTAACAAGATAAGACTTGGCAACAAGTAAGTGTCAAACCAAAAAGAGAAAACAACGTGACATCAAATACAACACTTATAAATGTCAAAAAAATTCCGTAAGGATCATGCACAAGAGGTAGAGATATAAACATCATAAGAAAAGTAAAAAAAGCAAGCATACTAGCATAGGAGCATTCATGTGTCAAGTGTCTAACCAAGCAAGGTACAAAAAGTGAAATGAAGTGAGATAGATGGAGAAGTGTATAAGTCAGAAGAAAACACATCAAGTACTTATCGGTATCACATAAACACACTTGAGAAAGATTCACAACATAATCAAACAAAGAAAGGATCACAATTAACCCTAAGTGGACATAAGTCCTCATGCATTGCTAACAAGAAAGCAAATTAGAAACGAAGAGGAAATATGAAGAAGGGGTAAACATAGACATGTTATACACTTAGCACAAACCTCATGGTCAATAAGAAGTTCAAATAGTCATTGAAAACATGGTACAAACACCAAAGTACACAAACTAGTTTCAAACAAAGTTGTGATGTGAGGTGAGAGAAAGTGTATGATCAAGTGAACATGGAAAGACATGTCAAGTAATAGTGAATTCAGAATCAAACACTTGTAGATAACACATATCAATGACCTCTAATACCCTTAGGGTATTACTACTTAAGCACATTCAAAAGATAAGGCAAGACTAGGTCAAAACTAAACCCTAACATGTTCCTAAAGATGAGTGAAGCACAAGAAAGTGATAGATCAAGAGGGTGCATATTTAGAGGGTGAAAAAATATACAAGTTTGTAGAAAATGATCTCTAAGATCACACATTCAAACATCACGATCATGGAGAAAAGAATGCATACAAACACATAAAGGAAAAATCCAAAGGAGGCAAGCAAGCATGTAATAATCAAAAGAAGAGGGCATAATTGAAGAATTATGAAATATGTGACTTGTATAGTAAGTTAACTCAAGATGAGACTGAAGAGTAACCAAGTAAGAAGATGAAACCTCATACACAAGAAAAGTCATCAAGTTGATGAACACCATTATCTAAGGATGGATAATACTTGTCTTAAATCGAATGAGTTTGATAAAAATCAAGTAAGAATGCAATGACATCCTATATGTCCTAGGGTAATAATGAAACCCTCACAAGATATCAATCATGAACTTAAAGACTCAAGAAATGTTAACAAGATAACATACTCAAGTGTCATGATATATGGTCAAAGTATTAGTCCCTTGATACATAAAAGTAATATGATCTAAATAAATCAAAGTCAATGTTCTTAGATGTTATAGGAAGTAGCCAACATCAAGATACATTCATGGGACATGGCACAAAAGCTCATGAGGAAATCATTAGACAATGATACTCAAAACACAAGTATAAAAGAGAATATAGCTTCTTATGTATCACCGTATTGGTTAAAAAGTCAGTGCATAACCAAGGATCAAGGAAGCATGAGAAATGAGATGAGGAGAGAGATTAAGATCAATACATAAACACAAAGATGTTTAAAGAATTCAAAACATCATCACAAACAAACTAGGTTAAAACAAAGATATGTGGCTTCTAACTTGTCATCATGATGAATTGACAATGAAATGTCAATCAAAGAATCAAAAGATCATTGAATTATAAGTCGTAAAGCATGAGGTTAGAAGTATAAGTAAAAGGACTTCAACCGTTTGGATCATTAGCATTTGAATGGAATTGTATAAGAACATCCTCCTAAACTATGATCACAAATGATGAGCAAATAACCTCTAAGCAAAGGAAAAGTGTTAGAGCACTTGAATGGTTTATAAACATGAACTCAAGGCCCTAAACATGCTATGAGAATGAAGAAGGAAGTTGGTTCCTTAAAGATTGCACAAGTGCATTCATTATATCTCACATAATCAACAAAGAAGCAAAAGGAAAGATCAATCTCAAAATGAAATGAGAAAATGATGAAAAGAGATCAAATACCTCTCAAGCTTTTAAGATTTTGAGTGAGTATGTGGTGTGTCTATTACAAGATGTGTTTCTCATAAAGAAATACCCAATGTAAAAAATATCTCTTATGTTAACCTCCAAATTGATGACCTAACAATGGTATCAAGAGTCGTTGATTCGAGTGAAGGACCAACTCACTTGTATCGAAAGTCATCCTCACATGGTGGTGGGTAGAAGTCATGTCTCGTTGAAAAAGTGTCAACTAAAATACAAATATATGTGGATGAAAGAGCTTCCACTTGAGGGGCACCATTATGAATAGACACACTTGAGGAATAATGTTGATAAAAACAAGCATGAGTTGGAAGTGATGAGAAACAAGTGTTGATTAGAAAAGTGGAGATTGAGTACTTTATAAGTGAGAGAACCAACACACAAACCACTTTAAAGTTTTGGGTGAGTATGTGGCGTGCCTCTCACAATATGTGTTGCTCATAAAGAAAGACCCCAATGTAAAAATGTTCTCTCATGTTAACCCATAAACTGATGATCTAACATACATAAATTTCATAACTATAAAATCTACAAAAGAAAATTTATATAAGTTGAATAACAATCTTAAATAAAATTTCAATCTTCCGAACATAATAATTTATTGTTGCTTATAAATTATCAAAAGTTGGAATAGTAATTGTATGATATAATAACACCATAAACTAAAATAGTAGATAAACAAATATTATAATTTACATAAATAATAAAAAAAATACGGTTAAATATGTTTTTGGTCCCTATAAATTATTAAATTTTGTTTTTTGTCTCTATAAAAAAACTGACATGTTTTAGTCCCAACAAAATTATTATGCACGTAGTTTTAATCCGTGCTGTTAAACGGATGTGTATTTTTGAATGATTATTTTGGAGACATATTTAGACCGTTATAAATAGTTTCTTGAAAAAAAGGAATTCAAAATTTGATTTCTAAATCGAGATTTTTATTGTTTTTATCAATATCTTTTGAAATTTAAAAAATTCATATTTAACTCTTCTTATTTTAAAAAATTCTAAAATTTGATAAATAAATATTTTATAGTGTTCTAAACACTTATGAAAAAAAATTCAAAAATTTAAAAATGTAAAAGTAACTAAATATTTTTCAAAATTTTAGAAAATAACACAAACAAAAACTGCTTGAATAAAAATTTTATAAGGATCAAAATATGTCTTTTTCTAATAAGGATTAAATTTTTTTTTTGAGATATTTATAAAGACCAAAAACATATTTTATAAGATAAAGTAGAAGAATAAAAAATCTATAAATAAAAAAATTAGAAAAAATAATGTGACTTTTACTTAAAAATAAGAATGATATTTATACTAAAAATAATGAAAATTAAATTCAAATTTTCTTTGTTAACATATATCTCTCTTCTTTTTTACCAAATTAAACATTAAAGAGACCAAATTATAAAATTTATAATTCTCTTCTTTTTTAACAAATTAAATATTAAAAGGAGTCATGATGCAATTGATAAAACTACAATTCTAATAATTTTAAAATGTTATATGTCATTTGAAAAAATTTAAATTTAACATTATTTAATTAGTATAAATAATTAACATAATTATAAATATTAATAAAATCAGATTTAAAATAGTGGTATCAAAACTTAAGAAAAATAAAAATAGGGGATCAAAATTATGATTAAGCTAAAAAATTAAAGATAAAAAGATTAATCTGCTGAACCAAAAATTTCACTAATTCAATTGCTTAACCAGTAAACAGAATGGGTCACATCGGTTTTCACCGGATCAATGATAACTATGATCCATAACTTTATCAAATCGCTCTACCTTCTAATTCACGGTCTAACAAGTTCGACCAATCGACACAGTCTGAGTTTTAAAATACTAACTAATAGTTGATAGTTAATGACTAATAACTAATATCGAGTGATTGATAGCTGATAAGTTAATTCAAGTGTTTGGTAAATTAATAATTACATTAGTTAATAAATGCAAAAATATATAAAAAAAAATATTCTTAATTAAAAAATTAATGATCTCATTATCTTATTATATTATATTACTATTAAATTAATTTGTATTCGATAAAAATAAATATATTAATAAACACATGCATACATTTTTTAATATATACGTAAAATTAAAGATAACCAAAATATATTAAATATTTATATATAAATTTTAATTTATATGTACAATTAAAGATAATCAAAATGTATTAAACAATTATATATAAATTTTATAATGAAATTTAACTAAATATATAAAATAATAGAATTGAAATTTTAAATTCAATTATATTAGTTTAAAATAATAATAAAAATGAGTTTGTGGTCTAATATTCTATAGTAAAATTGCAATGTTATTAATTACTAATTTTCTTCATCTTGATTGATCTTTTTGATTTCCATGTATCCTTTTACTAACTTAAAAATTATTAACACTATCTCACGATTTATTGAATAACCTTATAAAAATATTTTATGTCAATGCATAATAATTAAATTTGAATCCTTTATTTGATTAAAAAAAAGCCGGCTTGAGCCTGCGGATAAATGAACTTATGAAGCATTGGTGGTTGTAAAATAACTAAATTATATAATCCATCTTTTTTTCACCACCGTTGGATTGTTTCTACGCGGTAACTATATCACTCGTTAATTTCCCTCCTCTCTCTCTCTCTCTCTCTCTCTCTTCTCACAAGATCAAGACTTTGTATTCTTAAAACACTTCCAATCCGAATCTTCCAACCGAAAATCCTACTACCTCGGGACTCTGTCTCTGTCTCCTGTCTGTCACACACAGTTTTCTCTTCACACTTGTTTAATCCTTCCAATTATCTCAATGAAACTTTCCAAATTGACACATTCAAAATCAAAATCAAAATCAAAATCACCCCTTTATTTCAATTTCCATAATGGGTATTATGTTTGTTTCGATCCATCACACAATTTCACACTCTCCATTACTCATCACATTTTTTGTTTCCATCTTTACTCACACTCCATGATTTCTCTCATCATTTCATGCCTTAAATAGAAACAAACTCTTTTCCCACTCTCAACAATCAAACCACTTTCTTCTACTCCAAGATATGGGAAACAACTGTGTTGGATCCAGAAAACCCTCCAAAGATCAATTCGTTTTTCCATCTATTAACCTTCTTCCAGCTTCATGGTCATGGTCACACACTGTTCAACAACACCCACCACCTGTTTGTCAAATTGATTCACAACCAGTTATTATCTTCAAGGAACAACATCCTAGACCAACCAATCCAAAACCGATGATGATGTTGCCTAATATTAAGAGGGTCCGACCAAAAAGTGCTGGACTTAAAGCAGAATCAGTTTTGCTAACAAACTCTGGTTCTTTTAGTGAGTGTTATGAGATGGGAGATGAGCTTGGGAAAGGACAATATGGTGTAACTTCGCTTTGTTTCGAGAAAGCGACCCGGAAAAAATATGCATGCAAGTGTATTCCTAAGGTGAAATTGGTGAAAGAAGATGATTTGGAGGATGTGAGGAGGGAGATTCAGATAATGCATCATTTGGTTGGGAGTTCTAATGTGGTGTCTATTAAAGGAGCTTATGAGGATTCTGTTCTTGTTTATATTGTCATGGAGTTATGTGAAGGGGGTGAGTTGTTTGATAGGATTGTTCAAAGGGATCATTATACTGAAAGAAAAGCAGCTAAACTTGCTAGGACTATTGTTAGTATAGTTGAGTCTTGCCACTCGCTTGGAGTAATGCATCGTGATCTTAAACCGGAGAATTTTCTTTTCGTTGATGGAGATGAAGATTCAACTCTTAAGGCAATTGATTTTGGAATGTCTGTTTTCTTCAAACCAGGTTTGGAGCTAAGTTTTCTTTTTAGAAGTTTCGATTCGTTTTGCGCAACTTATATTAATCATTAGTAGGATTCGATCATTAGTAACTTGTTAAGTCTCTTAGACCGAGTATTTGGTATTATTTAACTGAACTATACCTAAGGTTTAAAACTGGGGTCATGGTAACATTCGCAATCCTCAATGTTGTAGAGATCCATAGTCTAATATGATTATGTAGTGTCAATTGCGATTGCAGACACATGAAAAACTATGATGCCTCAAGCCAGACTGTGGTTATATGCTTTTTTTTTTTTGAAACGTTGATTATAAATACTATTGGTGAATGATCATAGAGAATCTTTAGGGTGTTTGTGACTAATGATCATTCTTCATTTACAGGAGAAAAGTTTAGTGATGTAGTAGGAAGTGCTTATTATATTGCACCCGAGATTCTCAGACAGAGTTATGGTCCAGAAGCTGATGTCTGGAGTGCTGGTGTGATCATATACCTTCTCCTATGTGGAACAGCTCCCTTTTATGGTGGTAAGATATCTTCATTACCTTTTCATCTTTTAAAATTTATTATAACTTTTTCATTTCATATAAAATTGAGGATTTTGATTTTGTTCCTTGATAATTATAGAATTAGAAGCAGAGATATTTCATGAGATTTTGCATGGTGAACTTGATTTCTTTTCGGATCCTTGGCCAAGTATCTCGGAAAGTGCAAAAGACTTGGTTAAGAAGATGCTTGTTAGAGATCCTAGTAAAAGGATAACAGCACATGAAGTTCTTTGTAAGTTTCACCACTTTTTTTTTTTTTACATTATGATACTGGTGAAACATATTTCATATTTTCACATTAGAAATGTCATAATATTGATTACACATTTCATATTTTCATGACTAAAAATGTTCCATTGTTTAATCATATAGAACATGAACTTTTATTACCATCTTGTAAATGTCGTCGTTCCAATTCTTTGTAGGCCACCCTTGGATTCAGATTGATGGAGTTGCTCCAGACAAGCCGCTTGATTCCGCAGTTTTGAGTCGTCTAAAGCAATTTTCTGCTATGAACAAGCTCAAGAAAATGGCTCTTAGAGTTAGTAACTTTCTATTACATAGTTCTATCACGTGAGAGTATATGCTTTCAATTTGGTATTGTCAAATTAAGCCCTCTCTGATATTTTCCGCAATCTTTCCATGCAGGTTATTGCTGAGAATCTCTCTGAAGAAGAAATTTCTGGGTTGAAAGAATTATTTAAGATGATAGACACTGACAACACCGGTCAAATTACTTTTGAAAAACTCAAGGCTGGACTGAAAATGTTCGGCGCAAATCTCAATGAATTTGAGATTTTTGATCTATTGAATGCTGTAAGTTCAAAATCTTCTCCAATTTCCTTAACGGCACAAAATAAAACTAAGTTTTCTTTTGTATTGACGATTTTAGTTTCACAATACTATAATCCATTTGTACCAATTCTGTTTGTTATTGCAGGCAGATGTAGATAATAGTGGCACAATTGACTATGGAGAATTCATAGCTGCAACATTGCATTTGAACAAAGTTGGTAGGGAAGATAATTTAGTTACAGCTTTTTCATATTTTGATAAAGACGGAAGTGGCTACATCACTCAAGATGAGATTCAAAAGGTTTGTAAAGAATTTGGCATGGAAGATGTCCACTTAGAGGAAATGATCCAAGAAGCTGATCAAAATAATGTAAGTACATAATATTTTCAATCATGCTTTTTCTAATCTCGCACATCTTTTGAAAACGTTGCTATGTTCATGTTTTTATCCTTTCAGGATGGACAAATAGACTACAGCGAATTCGTTGCTATGATGCTGAGAGGCAATGCAGATTTAGGCAATAGTGGTTCTAAGTGTAGAAGCACTAGCTTTAACATTGGATTAAGGAAGATAGAGGCACAATCAGTATGTTAAGAAAAAGTGGTCGAGTTTTTTTCATCCTTTAGATAGTTAATTATCATTCTCTTCAAAAATATCTTAGTAAGTAACTATCCTTATTTAAAAAATTTGATAGGTTTGGTTCACATGTTTTACCTTGTTATGCAAGTTACTAGGAAACATTATCTTGGCAATTTTCATTTGAATTTTAACTTGGTGACATTTAAGTTTAAGCCACACCAGCAATTATGCATCTTTTTTGAATAGGACAGCTAATCTAAACGAGTTTAACATGGAGTGATGAAAGAGTTAATCTAAACAAGTAAAGCTTTGTTAAATTTGCTAAACTATCAAAATCGCAAGCCACATGCTTTTTTGAACTGTGACATTCTCTCTCAGCTCATCAATAGCTCAAAATGTAATTAAGCATCAACTTCTTTCAGACTTGTCAATGACGAGGGAGAATACCAATTTCTTAGATATATCGAAAATAACTATGAGGCCATTTGATAGGATGCAAGAATGTAGAAAAGTATAATATGTTTTAAAGTTGTTGCAATTAAATAGATAGTTTGTTTAAGTAGAAAAATAATTATAGATCTAAGGGGCTTTGCTTAATAGGGCCATACAATAAAGTTATCTAAAAATAAAATAAACTATTTAGAGTATATTATTTATAACATTGCTGAGTGCAAGTGTGGATAGTTAAGTCTTACATTGCATATGAATGAGTGAAATGTTTTATTCATAAAAGAGACGATTTATATACATGATGGCACAAGGGTTTGGAAAGGACGAAGTGATATAATCTTGTTTTTTCTCTCCTTATTCGGATGAGTCCCTATAATATACGGGTGAATCCCTCATATATGGGGCGAGTTCCTCGTGTGTGGGAAAATTCCCTCATATATGGGGTGAATCCCTCGTGTGTGGGACAAGTCTTGAATATGTATCCATGCTTCAATGATGTGAATAATACATCAGCTGAGGGAAATCAATTATCAGCTAGCTTAGAGAAATCAAATGTAAGTTGAGATGAAGTGTGTGTCGCGTTGAATATGATCGATGGTGATTTTCCTATATAAGCAAATTATGGCCTTACACCTCCGCGTGTCTTTGACATGGATAATCTTTCCTTTTTCTTTTAACTATTGTGATGCCTAATGGGTGGCAACAAATTACCCCTACGAATGGACTTTATTCCCTATAAAAATATTTTATATTTCTTCCTTGAATATTTTTCGCATCCTCTCCTTCCAAACTTTTATCCATTTAGTTAAGACTTCTTTACAGGTGCAGAGTGCACTCATTTCACAATTTCTTGTCTGTGATTGCATGTATGATTATGTTTTTCTCTCTCTAATCTTAATGGTAAATATTATATTTTGAAATGCTTTAAGAAGTGGATATGGATTAACATCGTGAATTAGGCTTATAGAGCTGTGACAACCCTGGTAGTTTTGATAGTGATTTTCTTGCTCTTCCTAATCTTACCAACAATCAATGGCAGAAATAGGTGCTAAATGTTTCATCGTCCAAGACATTACTTATATATTATAATGAGGAGAGGATCACTGCTTGTCGACGACAAATAATACTTTCCAATACTAGACATGAGGATGATGTGATCTTGAAACCATGTTCCGAGGGGGGGGGGGGGGGATACGGCTAATATGGCCTCCCCGTAGGGCTCTCCCAACCCCTACTTCTATCTGCACCTCAGTGTTATTTGTGATTTAGGGGTTTTAATATCTTTTAAACTATTTAAGCCCGAGTTTCTAGCGACTGCAAATGTTACACTCAATGTTTAAGGTATCATTAGGGCGTTAGAATCATATGTTGGAAGTTGAGAGTCTTTCCTACCATCAGGGTATTCTTCTCTTTCTATGACATCATAATCAGTGCCAAAAGTGGCTCGGTGACCCTATGAGGTCTTCCAGGAAGAAAATTTCTAAAGCCCCACTCAGAATCTTACAAGGACTGAAAAGATAAGTTTGTAAGGGTAAAAGGGTGAGACTATGCCTCAATGGTCATAATTAGGGTTGCTAGGGCCCCTCGCTTACCCCTGTCTTGGACGAGTGACTTGAGGATCACCATTGACTTTGACTTGATGACCTTACCCCAAATGAGCAAGAGGGTTCAAGTATTGAGCGATTTTGAATTAATGTGCTCTAGTGCCTTTATCACTCTAGATCGAGGAGACAATAACAGGATATATGAATATTTAGGTCAGTTTTGGTCGAGAAAAATCCTTTGTTTTGAGATTGTTTATTTCTAAAGCTACCTTATATTTTTCCCGCACCTTTCTTGTATAGAAAATGTTTACCATTCCACTAGCTAAGCGGAAGGAACGCCTAGATAGGAAGGAGCACCAACCGGTGAACATCCCTAAGAGTCACTCACGCGAACTAATGGAAATGAATGGAAAAAGGCGTGGCAAGGACAACTTCTTGGGTGATGCTCGCCCCCTCAAAATCCAAAAGCAAAGAGAGAGTTCTTCACATGTTCCAAAGGATGGTTAGATAACAGTTGTTTAAGAAGGTAGGCCTAATTGGGAGTCCTTGCTAGTTAATGATAGTTTTTCCTCTAGCATTATTTGTGGAGTTATCCTTCATTTGATGCCTTCAAGTTTGTCGAGACTTACCTCCCTTTTCTCGAGGTTTTCCCCATTGACTACAAGGGCCTTCATGATAAGTCACCCCTCGAGCTTTCGGGGATGGATGCAAAGTACTTGCTAAGGGGAATTAAGATAGAACTGATCAAGTGGGAGAAGTATATTCAATTGGTCAGTGAATTGAAATCTAAGCTTGCAATGGACCAAGAGAGCATCGCCCAACATCACTAGATATTGAGGAACTTGATATAGGAGAAATAATATTTAAATATCCTACTCAAAACGGTGGCGCTAGAGGCATGGACTCACGTCGCCACATAAAAGAGCCTAACAGGTTTTTTTAGGGAGCCCTTAAATCTCTGAAGAAACTTGAGGGGGAGTTGTCTGCATTCAAGGATGACATCATGGAAAATTTTGACAAGTACTTCGAGTGGTTGAAGGAGTAGAAAACCTTCCTTTATCCAGGGTTAGTCTTAAGTCATATGGATTTAAGGTGGTATGCGGCCTCCAGTTAGTGGATGACGGGGACCTACCGCATATTGGGAATTTCTCCTTAACTAGTCACTAGGTGTTAGAAGGCGTTGTTCTCCCTGATAATACTTTAGTGGATCAATGAGTTTAAGGCTTACTTATTCATGCCTTTAGTGACCTTTTTGCAATGGTGCCCCAAAAATGGCTTTTATAACTTTTTTTACCTAGAGGTTCTTCATTACTCTTTTTCCCCCTATGGGTCTTAATTGAATGACGTGTTTGTATACTCTCATCTTATTTGCGTGGATCACTTCACAACATTGGAATTTCCATGGAAAGGATTTCCTAGAACATGTTTTTGTGTTTATCTTGGAGAACTAGGTTTCCCACCTAAGGATGCTAATTTTTCCACAGGGGCGACAAAGATTCCTACACGAGGATCCAACATATTTGATCGCCTTGAGGGGAAATAAATATTCCTTCATGGGAATCCAACATGTTTCATTGTCTCAATAGGACGACAAAAATCCATGCATGAGGATCCAACATATATGGTTGCATCTTAGGGAGGTTTCAATAAGATCCCTTTCTCTCTTCAGTTTCTTACAAAAATAGAACAATATTTCCCAATTCATATAACAACTTCAATGGCCTAATTAAAAACCCTAATTCTTTATTGGAAACTCATGGGAACATAGTTCTCCCTAAAACAAAGAATGTCATGAATTTAACCTTACAAGTGGCATAGATTGTAACTCTCTTAAATAAAGCTAAACAGTAAATGAAATTACGCTAAACATGGTTTGCCGTATTAACACTTAACATCTTTTAACAAAGAATTTTCCTCTACCATTTTCTCTTTCCTAGAATGGAGTGATCACGTCTCCATCCTCGGGAGCATCCTCTTATGGCTTGGCCCCCAACTTTGAGCCTACAATATTCACACCCATGGTTCTAGTCTTCTTCAGCTTCAAGCTCTCTACGTGACATTTCTTGGCAATCTCTTGATCTCTTTGGATAACCCTACATCTGGGAGTGGATACTTCGTGAAAAGATATAATGTAGACAAGGTGGCTCGTAACTGGTTGAAAATAGGCCACCCTATAATCATGTTATACGAGGAAAGTGCATTTATAACAAGGTACCTTACCTTAATTTTCCTAGAGTTGTTCTCTACTCCAAATGTGGTATTCACTATTATATAACCTTTCACATGCACTTGTTCACAAGAAAATCCTACCAATGATCATTGATCAATCACCACCCTCTTAATCTCCTAATATTCACGCTTTACGATTATGGAATCGTCATCATGCAGATCGATGCCTGCAATGTTCTTTTTAGAAAATGAGATATTAAATTTTGGGCTTCTAGCGCTCTCGTCTCAGAGTTGTTGAATGAGCCTTTGATGGTTAGGATTTTTCAAGTGTATCTTCTGCGGGCGGAACTGGTATCTCTACTCTTGGAGAATCCTCATGCAATGGTATGAAGGGTTTAGTGTACAAATCTATTGTCGCTCCCCTTGCTTCATTATTTTCCCTTCTTGGACTCGAGACTCGCATGAGCATCTTTCCTTTAAGAGTTGGATCCTCCTGGATTTTGAGAGGAGTCACTCTTGACATACTTCTTTAGGTGGCCTTATTAGATAAAGCACTATGTTCCTTTCTTGAGTTGATAAAATTCCTTAGTATGGTTCCCCTTGACTTCGTGGAACTTACACCATCTACTAGGATCATGCTCCATGACATTATGACTTTAAAGTTGGATATTGTGGGATGTCGTGCATGTAGAGGACTTCTCACCATATCTGCTGGGACGTGAAGCTCTCCACGGATTTTATGCTTCACTTGAACGCCATCCTGTCTTTGATGGGAAAGGCGTAGTGATTCCTTTGTAGATTCTTGTGAGTTGTAAGTATTAGAGGTACGCTCCTTAGCATCTCTAACCTTAT